AGGGCTAACTCTTCAGCTGAATCCATGAAGCTGCGGAAGCAGGAACACAGCCTGCTCCGGATTGCACTACTCACACCACTGCCTCAAAAACCCCCAAGAAAAACGCACACGGAGCTGTGACCACCCTGGTGAGGCCACCCACCCGGGAGGGAGGGAGCCGGGTTAAAAAGCGCGGCCCTGCCCCGACCAAGGTGCACCACCTTGAGCGAGTGGCTCCGCGGGGCCTCCTGGTGGTGCACTCGGCTTGCTTCATTTACAGGTAATGAAAAGGTGGCCTCCGTTCCCTGGGGTCACATGGCCTGGGCCCCTGGGTTTGGTAACACATGCCTACCTGTGGGAGGGTGGGGGTACGTCTAGTAACACCCCCCCAAGCTTCCTGCTCAGCGAGTGGCAGAGAAGCACAGTATCTGAGTTCAGGCCCAGGAAGAGGACATGGCTCAGCAACTGGCAATCGGGTGGCCCCCGACGGCCTCTTAAGGGTCCCAGGTCTCCTCTGCCCCTCCCTCTCACGGACCCGTAGGCTGTTTCTGGCTTCCACAGATCCGGGGGCTAGGGCTCCGGGGTTCTGAGACCGTTAGCCCCTCACACAGCACCCAAAGCAACCACACAGTTCCCAAGGCTTGCTAAGCGGCATGAGTGGTCAGAGAAGCAGGATTCCCTGCCGCCGAGAAGCGCCTCCGGGAGCCCAGACACCCAAGGGCTGCGTGAATTCCTCAAGGCCGCAAACCGGATTTGGCGTCCTTCTGAATCTGCCCCGACACCTGACCTTTGGTCGCCATGCTATACACGGACGGCATGCACCCTGCCAGACGTCACGCGACTGGACAATTACGCTCCTAGGCCAACAAGGTTTCGGAAGGCTCCACAGTACCTTCTCCGCTCCGCATCTTGGGGGTCTGTGCCCGGGAGGCTGATGGTGATGGAGGACGGGGCCCCTACGTCGTAGCGCTTCACCGTCTTCTGGCATATCTTCACCTTCACCAGGAGGCCGTGCACCAAGTTCGCCAGCAGCCCCACCACGGGCTGCAGGATCTCCGGGAAGAAGGTGGCGAAAGCGAAGTGGTCGGCCATGTCCCCCCGGCCTCGGCTGTGGCGCTGGTAGAAGCGAAGGTACACCCAGCTGGAGAGCAGCCCGAAGCCGTAGGAGGCCAGCGCCGGGCTCTGGAGCAGCGTGGCTAGCCGCAGCAGCAGCAGCAGCCCCAGCAGCAGCATGGGGACCACGCTGATGCGCACTTGGGGCACTCGCAGGACCACACAGTCCCCCATGGTTTGCTTGAGCGCCACCAGGACACCGCCTAGGAAGCCCAGGGCGCCGTGGATGCGGATGGTGAAAAGGTACACCAAGTTGAAGGAGGCCATGTAGGTGAGGAGGTAGGCGAAGGCCCCCAGCAGCCCCACAGACACGTTCACCACCGAGAAGAAGATGAGCAGCTCCAGGGCCCCCCAGAGGGGCTCCAGCAAGCGTCCAGCCACCACCACGGTGGCCAGGCTGATGGCCACATCCCACACGTGCTGTTCCATCAGCCCGTGTGTGGCCAGGGTCCAGATCCAGAAGTTGGGCGGAAAGAGATAGCCCGGGGTGACCGCCAGGCAGCCTGTGTCCACGGCGAAGGACAGCAGGTAGAGGAACAGTACGGCCGCGCACAAGGCCTTCACCACCACGCTGGCGCTGGCCAGGACGGCCCCCAAGTGCTGGCGGGCGCCCGGCAGGGCGCGCTGCATCTTCCCGGTGGGCGTCGGCCGGAGGGAAGGTCCAGTAGACTAGGGGCCTCCCCGGGGCCTCGTCCCAGTTCGGCCCCGACGGGAGGCCCGGGTCCGGCCTAGTTACGGCCTATGGTCCCAGTGAAAGCTCCACTTCTGGTCGGGTCGGGTCGACTCCGATTGCAAAGGGCTGGGCCGGGCCCGGTCGCGGAGCCAGCGCCTAGGCCCCTCGCGGGGGACCCGAGGGAAGGCCCTGGGCGGCTTCGGCCCGCCTGCCCGCCCGCCCTGTGGGCCCGGAGCCAGGCTGAATGGGCTGGTGCTGATCTCAGGGCTGGGCCCACTCCATCCACTCCGGGGTGCTACGGTCCGGTCCGGTGCGCGCGGGCCCGGAGCCTACTTAGTTCCGGGCCCGAGTCCAGTCTGGTCCGCTCCGGCTCGGCCTGGGTCTTGACTTCGATCGCACCTCTTCCCTTCCCAGGCGCCGACAAACAGGAGCGGTGCGCCTGCGCGCCCCGGGCGGCGGCGGGACGCCCTCTCCCGGCAGGTCTTCCGGCTCCGCGGCATGCCGGGACACAGAGTCCTCGGCCAGAGCTGAGGACGAACGGAGATCTGAGTTCTGGGTAGAACTACAAGTCCCAGGAGGCTGCGCGCCGGGGACGGTCCGTCGGTGACAGAGGAGGTGGATTTGGGAGCTGTAGTTTCCAGGACCGTTTCCCCCTGTTCTGCGGAGGTGGGAGTGGGTGGAGCATCGTTAAAAAGCGGAGGTTACCAACAGCCCCACAACTGCATGCCACACACTTGCTGAATTCCCCGGAAAGAATGGGTCTTTGTGTGGTACGCCTGAGTGGGTGTGTCCTTGTGGACGGGTGTGTGGGTGAGAATGTTGGGTGGACCTGGTGTGTGTACTAGTGTGCGCAAACTGGGAATTCCACAATCTGATATCAAGCCTGACTCAGGTTGTATGGGATGCATGGGGCCTGACCCAGGTTGGCATTTTTGCTCTGCTACCTGGCAGCTGTGTGACATTGGCCAACTAACTCCCTGGACTTCGTTGAAACTCAGTTTCGTGGACGTACAATGGAGATGACAGGATCTGCTGTGAGGGTCCAAGGGAACCGGAGTGTCAAACGCCAGTTCTCCGTGGGAGCACAGTGAGTGTGCTGCCCGGGCTGCCCTTGTTACCAGTGAGGTGAAGTCACAGCTCAAACTCACGTTTCCTGCCCCCGGCAAACTTCTGATTGCTGGCCCAGAGGAAGAGACGTCTCCCCACAAACTTGCAGCTGTGGCTTCTGGCAGGTTGTGTATTCTGCAAGCCGATTTTTTTTGTGTGTGTATCTTGAGTTACTTTTTAAAAATGTGCATACAATTAAAGTAATTACAGGACAAAGTCCATTTATAAAGGGCAGGATGCCTTCCTTTCAGCTGCTGACCTCAGTTCAACTGCCAACGTGAGCATAGCCTTCCGGGTGGCAAAGGGCGTCAGCACCCTTTATCTTTGGGGTCTGGGTTCCCACGGGGTGCCACCCCAGGGGAGGATTGCCAGATCTAGCAAATCAAAATACAAGGTGCTCAATCAAATTTGAATTTCAAATAAACAATGAATACTATTTTTAGTATTAAGCATGTCCTCATTTTTTTAGTATAGTTATGTCCCATGCATTACTGGGAACATACTAAAAATATTTGTTTATCTGAAACTCATATTTGATTGAATGTTCTATATTTAATCTGGCAGCCCCACCCCAGGATCTTCCGGGGCTGCCGTGGAGCTGTTGCTGGGCGTGGGGGCTGTTGCTGGGTGCGGGGGCTGTTGCTGGGTGTGGGGGCTGTCTCAGAGTTGCGAGTGAGGTGTTGCTCTGTAGCCAGCTCCTGCAGAGGAGGACAGACGTGTTAGCCAAGGCCTGGAATGCCCTTTATGCAGCATCTAAGGCCCCACAGCTACAGGCCGCCTCCCCTCAAAAACCTGGGTTGGTTTCTTGCCCTTCTCATTGGGGAGGATGGATTTCTCCTTTCTCAGTTTGCTCATCTGCAGTATGGGGATGAGCTCTAAGGCCAGGGTGAGGACCCAGCCAGAAGCCACCAGACTAGGGCTGAGTGTGTACTGTGTTGGCAGCACTGGGAAACCTTGGCACAGGTGGTCACGTCTTTCCTCTTGAACTCGAAGGTCACGTGGACTGGGGTTGACTATCAAGTGTTGGGATTAAAATGCACAAGGGAGTTGGGTTCCAGTGTGAGCTGAAGTGGCCATGGAGAGCCCTGGGCCTTGAGCCTGTCCTGAGCTGGGAAGAGCAGTGGTTAAGCCTTTATGTGGACTGGACCTTGGCTCCTCCCACCAGCAGTGCTGGACCGTGGAGCACCAGGTACTGGACTCAGGCCCAGTACTCACCCTTCACTTCCAGTGGAGGACCTGCCCACGGGGCCAGGGTGGTCTGACCTGATGGCTGGATGCCTGTCTAAGCCCACATCTCATCTCCTTGAGCCTCTGGGAGTTTCCCCTCCCCGCCCCCTCCCCCTCAATGCTTTTGGGATTATTCAAGAGGAAGGATTCTAGTATCTGAAGTTTAAGAGGCCAGGGAAGTGGTGTGCCTACCACGCCCTGCACCTGGGACCAGGATGCTCTGGCCCTCACTCCTGGCTGGGTGCTAAGTGGGGCTGTAGGTGACGAAGGTGACCTGTCTTCACGCTACCCCATCCTCTCCCCAGGGCAGACACAGTGGATGGGAACCGTTTGAAGTGAAAATATGAACATTATTTAATAACTGATCTTCTGTAATAAACCATTTGAAAATATTTTACAAGGAATCACACGCACAATATTTTACAAAGTTTCTTGACTTTTTTGTCGCTGTTGTTTTTCCGACTTGTTCTGTACAAAATAGGACAACAACCAAAATAAAAGGGCAGAGAAAAGGAAATGGCCCCCCAGGTCCCTCGAGCCCGAGGTGAGGGCAGCCGGGTCGGGTGGGCGATGAGAAAGGTCAGACCCAGCTGGGGGTTGGACAACTACCTGATGGGGATTGTTGTGTCTGTTTCTCAAACTTAAAATATATATTTATTCTTCTGTATATGTTTGTTTCTTTTTTATTTTTATACTCTCCATTGAGCACCTAACTACACTACAGTTACACACGCACCCCCGCAAGACACGGCTGGCACCGGGGCTGGGCGCACAGCGTGGGCGCCCACCGGGGCACCAGCAGCGGGCATGGACCATACGCACACTGAGAAAGCGACAAGCAACGTGACATTAATTAACGGAGCCATTAATTAATGCATCCACCCTCCCCCCTCCTCCCTGTCCGCCTGAGCCCCGCGGCCACAGCCCCCTGCCCTCAGCCCCCCAACCAGTCCTCAGGCTGGATGCCTTTGGAGGAAATGACCAGAATGGATGGTGTGAAGAAATGTGCCCAGGCCTGGCCTCTGTGTGTGCACAGAGTGTGTGTATGTGTGTGCAAGAGTTCAGCAGGGAGGAGCAGTTTGGCCTCCAGCGGGGGACAAGGAGTGTGTGTGTGTGTGTGTGTGTGTGTGAATGGGAAGGAGAGGGGAAGTGGGTGCAGGCCCGAGCGTGCCAGGGCCCGACTGGGGGTGGGACGGCCCGGCCGGGAGCAGCGAAGTCACCCCGCTAAGGCAAAGGGCGATGTCCAGTGAGGGTGCCCCTGCCCAGGGGCGCAGGCAGCGGCACGTGGTCCCACTTGGGGCCCGACACTAGTGATAAAGGGTTACAATGAGCACCTGGGGTGGGGGGCATTTAGGGGACACTGGCGGCTAGGGTGGGGCAGAGAGGTGTTCGCCCCCTGCCCCAGGATTTGGCACTGATTGACATTCAGCTTTAGAGATGGAGGATGAGCTGCGCTGCAGGTCGGGTGGGGGGGGGGCGCGGTGAGCAGGAGGTGGGTGTGTGCATCCGCCCTCCCACCAAGCCCTCGCCTGTGGAAGGGTTGGGGGCCCCACCTCCACCCCACCACGTGCATGTCTGTGTCTGTGTGTCCTCCAGGATGTGTCTGTCCACTGTGGGTCCAGTCTCTGCCCTCGGGGCTCCAGGGGTGCCCGGGGTTGTGTCTGAGCCACTTTCACTGTTGCTGTCTTAACATCTGAAGTGCTTGTGGGGAGGGTCTGGGCCGAGAGGAGCTGGAGCCCACGGGGGGGCTGCCTCGGGGCCTCCCTCCCGTGGAGACGTGAGCTGGGGTGCACAGGGCTCAAACTGCCTTTCTCAGCTTCCTTCATTCTTCCCAGGGAGCCCAGATTGGTCCAGGTGGGGTGGAGGGCCCAGTCAGAGGAACCCCCTTGGGGCGGGGCCTAGTTCTCCCTCAGGAAGGGAGCCTGGGGCGGGCCGGGCAGTGGGGCCTCGTTTGGCACCAGCACTGTGGTTTCCCTGTCCCAACCCTGGGGGTGGGCAAGTCCAGTGGGAATGAGGGGTCTGGGGACACTATGACAGTTCAGCAGCAGATGTGGCTTGGGGGCCAAAGACCTGCGGCGCTCTCCTGTGGGACTCCCCCACCCCCAAGTCCAAGGCTAAGACTCCAGGGGCCCGGCGCGTTCAGGTCCCTCGGGAGGACGCGGGCGAGGACCTAAGGTGAGGGTGTGGGGGACAGCGAGAGGCCTGGGGCGGGGAGGGCGCTCAGAGGCGGCGCGAGGCCTGGGCGCGCACTGGCGCCTGCGGCCCGGGAGGCAGGCCCAGGAGGAGCAGCAGCTGCAGGGACACCAGGATGCTCAGCGACGGCGGGAAGGAGGCTCCGCGGCCGCAGTCTGAGGTATCTTCCTGCGGAGGAGAGACAAGGAGCGGGTCGGCCTGGGGGGCCCGGGACAGGGTCGCGCCAGCCCTGGGGGAGGAGAGCGGGCGTCCAGCCCCTCCCCTCACCGTCGCGTTGTAGTCGAAGCAGATGTGCGGGCCTCTCCGGTATCTTGGTCTCTGCACCAGTTCGCACTGCTCCGGGCCGTCCGCTGGGCATGGGTGGGGAGTCAAGGAGGCGGCCGCGGCGGCACAGAGGGGGCGCGCGGGGCGGGAGGGGGGCTGGGGGCGGCGGGGGCAGGATACAGTGCGTCTCCTTCTGCAGCAGCCGGCCAGCCTCACACTGGCTGCACAGCGGCTTCTCGGCCACGACGAAGAGGAGGTTGGTGTTGGTCAGTCTCTGCGCGTGGAACAGCCTGGCGGCGTCACCGAAAGGCCGGGCGTTGAGGTCCGCCCCGCCCCACCGGCCCCGCCCCTTCCACCCCGCCCCCAGGCCCCGCCCCCGGCCGCCACCCCGCCTGGTCCTCCGCCGGCACCTGGAGCAGTTTCCACAGTCGATGATGGCGTTGTAGGAGGCGTTCACCGACCCGAAGTAGTACTGCGTCTGTTTCATGACACAGCTGCTCTCGCGCGCCTCGGGGTTGCCCTCGGCCTCCGCGGGGTCTGCAAGGGCCAGAGAGCCTCAGCCACAGCCTCACGCTCTGGCGCCGCTTGGGGACTCGGCAGCGCTCCGCCGAGGTCAGCCATAAGCCCCGCCCTCCAGTTAGGATGGAAGTCTGCAGAGATCCGGAGATCCGAGAGGGGATTTGGGGTGGGGGGGCTCCAAAGCCTTACCTACCTGCTTGGAACCAGCTGTGGTAGATGAGGCCATAGAGAAGCTGCTGGAACAAGGACCTGCAGGGCATGGGTCACCGAGTAGGAGTGGTCAGTAGAGGCCAGTGCCCTGCCCCCCTTCTCTTGAGCCCTCCCTGGCCCCTCTCCCCACGAGGGCTCACCAGGCCGCAGCTGAGGTCCACCAGGCCAGGTTAAGAAAGTCTGCAATGGTAGGCTGCAGCAGGGAGACAGGCGTGGGCTGCCACTGCTGCCCAGGACGGGGTCACCTCCCCCGCCCCCACAGCTCTCTTGTCAGAGCTAGGGGGTCATCTCTGGGCACGTCTCCCAGCCCGCCCCCGCCCCCACATCCAGGCCAGGCATTGCTGGGGCTCACCACAAAGACGCCCCGGGGTGCAGCACCCAGGTTGCCTGGGGGCTGGGGGGCACAGGCTGCCTGGTAATCGTAGGACTCCTTGCGGGTGTAGAAGGAGTTATTGTAGAGCGCCAGCATCAGGTTGGCGTCCACCTCGCTGAAGAACCTGCCTACCTGGGGGTGCGGGAGGGAACCACAGTCACGGGGCTGGCAGTGCCACGCCCCCAGAGGGCTCGACCCCGGACCACCCCCTCCCACCCCTTTCCTGACCCTCACCTGGTCCCACTGATGGTTCTGGTTCGACAGCACCAGGAATCCCCCGTCATCAATGAGCACGCAGAGCAGGTCCTGAGGGGTGGGGGACGGGGAGGAAGAGGGAGACGGGTTTGGGCCCAGACCTCGGCAATCCGCTGGTGGAGTGGGGGGGGTCGCCACTCGCCCCAGTTCTGGTGAGGCTGCGAGGTCGGGGTGGGGATGGGCTGGGAGTTGCGGGGTGGGGGGGACTGAGAAGCGCAGCAGTGGGGGAAGCTCGGGCTCCGGGGGGGTGCACGCACCTCATTGTTGACCTCGCAGTCCATCTCGCAGTGGCTGCTGGGGCCGCACTGCTGGGCAGAGAGCAGGGACCGTGAGGTGCCACCAGTTCCCCCCTCCCATCACGGTGGGTCCCCAGGCCATCTGCAGCAGCCCCCGCCCCTGCCCCCATAGCCTCCAGAGCCGTTCTGAGCCGGAGGACAGCGGGGAGCTCCTGGGGGCTGCAGAGAACGGGGCGCTGCTGGCTTGTGGCCCCCACCCCCGCACAGATACCTTCTGAGGCTGGTCCTGGTGGGTGCGGTTGCTGGCCAGCACCTTGAACTTCTCAGCCCAGGCCTCTAGATCCAGCTTAACGCCCACCACTGTGGGGGACAGCAAGGGACCATCAGTACCTGCCTGCCTGGGCAGCTCCCTGCCGTAGTCTCCCCCCGCTTCCACCACAGGCACGCACCTGCTGGTCTCAGCGTGCGCCCGCCTAGGCTGAACTCCACGGCTGTGCTGACAAGGATGCCCACCGTGTTGTTCTCCAGCTCCAGGGGTCTCAGCAGGGCTGCGGGTGAGGGTGGGGTCCGGCGCGGCGGTCAGGAGTGGGGGCCGGCACCCACACTGACCACTCCCTGCTGAGCCCCGAGGACCCAGGAGCCCAAGCCACGGCTGACCCCAGACTAAGCACCCAGCACCCAGCACCCAGCAGAGTGGTCAGCAGAGCCTAGCCTCTCCTCTCAGCTGCTGTCTCAGCCCACGACCAAGAGGGGCCTCAGCGGCTACAGCCCAAGCACACAGTGGGGCCTCAGCTGCCCCCGCTGCCGGGGCCCCGGGGACACTCACTGTCCTGGTGCGGGGGCTTGAAGACGTAGCCGCGGTTGTCCAGGCTGCGGCGGTAGAAACTGGCGCTGAAAGGCTCGGGGCTCTCCGTCCAGTCCTCAGCTGCCCTGCTCACCCGCGACAAGCAGAGGTTGATGGGAGGGGTGGCTTAGGGGGACAGGGGTCTCGGCAGGTACACAGAGGCCTCTGGGCGGCAGGACACAGGCAGGGCCTCTGTCTGGCAAGGGCAAGGTGTGGGGGAGTGGGGAAGGTCACTTACTTGTTGGGGAAAACTCGAGTGATGCCGCCGTCGGTGGCAGCGAACACGGCCAGGAGGCTGTACCTGAGGGCAGTGGGGAGGTGCGGTCACAGGCCTGCTTTCGGCAAGGGGCCAGCACCCTGCGGCGGCCCCGGCCTCCTGCCCACCCCCAAGGCTGGGCGGTGCCTACGTGTTGAGATCCTGGTCCCGCCACACACGCTCCACCAGCTGCTGCGTGATGCCCGTGTCCAAGATCAGGTTGTGCAGGAGGAAGTTGTTGCCTGCAACGCGAGGGCAGGGCTGGAGGCGGCATCCTCTCGTGACTCCCGCCCCTTTACACGCTCCGCACGAGGCTCCCACGGGACCGGTGCCCCCGGCCTGGCCCGGGCCTTGCCCTTGGCTGGGGCCTCATCTTCCCACACCTGCCCGGTCCCTGGGCTCCTCGGGGCCGCCCCCGTGGGCACTCACACTGCTTGGAGTCCGGGGTCACTTTCTCCATAAGCTCAATGAAGTTTTTCAGGAACTCGGTGTTGTTGTCAGAGGCGTTCAGGTCCTTGCAATACTCTCTGGGGGTGGAGGGGGGCAAGAAGAGTGGGCTTGGGGGGCTGCACGGGGCAGAGGGCTGAGGCTTCCCAACAGGTCTTCCTGGTCGTTTTCTGAGAAGCCCAGGCCTGCAGGAGGCGCACGTGTACAGGCTGCAGCCACTACACGCCGGCCGGGCCCCCAGGGCTGAGTACGGGCTGAGCTGGAAGGAGAGCGAGGGTCTCCTTCCTCCTCCCTGGAAGATCCTCCCTGCCGGGCAAGGCCCCGCAGACCCTCCCACCTGTGCCGTGTATCTGGACCTGGACGGAGCACCCGGGAGGCCCTCCTGGTGGGCTCACCCGCCTGCATGCTGTGTGGGCACCAGGTGGGCGGAGCCCCAGCGCCGGGTGGGCGGAGCCCCAGCACGGCTGAGTCAGCCGAGTGTAAGACCTCGTCTCCCGCCTGGCTGTGCGCCTCTGGGCAGCTCGCTCGGCTCCCTGCGCTTGTTTTTTCCTTCACACCATAGAGGACGCCATGAAGTCAGTGGAGACACGTGGGTCCTCGGACTGGCTGTTCCCTCTGCCGGGGAGGTTCCTGACCCAGAGGGGGGCGGGCCAAACCCTCGCTGTCTGGAGACCCCCAGGCCCGGAGAGCGTGGGGCCGTGGGGGTAGCCTCTGCTCCCCAGGCTGTCGTGGCAAGCAGGCCTGCCACCCTGGCAGACGGACCTGTCTCTCCTGCTCAGCTCCTCACCCCACCCCTGCCCCCGGAAACCTCCGCACCGGCTCGTGAGGCCGCGAGGGCACCCGGGACCGGGTCTCAGCACCCCCTGCTCCCTGGCCGCCGGGGCCTTGGTGCAGCACCCGGCTTGCGCTTCCGAGTGTGAGGCCACACCTGACACCCTCGAGCAACACCCGAACAGCTGGGCTTTGATGCGTGTCACCTGCAGCCCCTCGTGTGTGCATTTGCGTGTGCGGGTTACTTTCCTCGCTTACCCGACACGTACTTATTGAGCTCTCTTGAGCCAGAGACACAGAGGTGACAAAAGCGAACACCGTCCCTGTCCTCAAAGAGCTTCCTCGGGGTCACTTGGGCCACACGGGCCTTTTCACCCGTGTCCATGGTGCTGAGCCCGCCCCACCCTTGCACGCGGACTCTGACAGACGCCCACGATGACTCACACACACACACACACACACAGTTACAGGGGGTCACAGAGAGGTTTGTGGGTGCATGCACACACGTGCACACACGGAGGTTAGGAGTGTCCAGAGCCCACGTGAGGTGCCTGAGAGGGTCGTGGATCTCCGTCCGCTGTACCCATCTGCCCTCATCCAGAGCCCAGGCCCCAGGGGAGGGCTTTGCACCCTGGGGGGGCGGCGCTGGCTTCTTCAGGTGTGGGCCCCCAGGCGCAGGGGGCGCACACGAGGGTGTGTGTGCATGCTGGGAGTGTACCCGAGGATGGTCCAGGCCTGGACCTGCGCTGGGCCCTGACCCCTTGCCTGTCCCAGGAGCTCCTCAAAGCCCCCACCCCCCTTCCGCCCTGTCCTCGGTGAGCCGCCACGCCTGGACTCGGCATGCCGGCAGGGGCCCTGGCGGGCCGGTCCCCAGGCCCACACAGACACTGACTGACACAGGACAAGGACGGGGTGCAGGGGGAGCAGTGGGGAGGCACCGCAAACCAGAGCAGCAGCTGCCCAGCGCGGGGCATCCTGCGGACAGCCAGCCCAGGGCAAAAAGGAGTCCTCCGCATGCTTGAGAGGACAGGCAAGGTCGGCAGAGGGTCCGGAACCCTCCCGCCCCAGGCCTGGTGGGAGCCGGAGCTGGGGGCGGCTGGCCACTGCTGCCTGGTTCGGCTGCATGGCCCGGGTGTGCAGGTGGCCGCACACGCGGGGCTATGCATGGGGTGGGGTGACAGTGCACGGGACACAGACACACAGAGCTCTGGGCGGCAGTGCGGGAGGCGGGCCGGGGCAGTCGGGGTGGGGGAGGACGCCTCAGCAAGGCCGCACGCAAGCTACCTGGGAGCAATGAAAACATGTCCTTCAGACTCAAAGCTGCTGGGGAGCAGGAACTCAAAATCTGCAACAGAAACGGGGGTTATCCGGCGGGGGCTGGGGAGGCGGGAGGCCAGGGGGCTCAGAGCTCAAGGGGCCGGAGGGACAGGGGAGGGGGTGGCTTCAGGGAGGGGGAGACACCAGCAAAGAGGGAACCCGCCACTTCCATGTTCAAGTTCGAGCCAGAGAGAAGGGGGGGGTGGGGAGGGGTGGAGGGCCTGTGGAGACTAAAGCATCGCAGGAGGGCAGTTATAGCCAATATGTTGCCCGGGCCCGGTCCTCTGTCGGCAGTGAGTCCCTTGGCGTGGCTGTATATGCTTCCATACGGCTGTATAGCACATATACACGGACACACACACACACATATATATACACACACCGCTATATATATGCATGGTCTGGGGGAGGCGCCAGTGTCGCTCTCATCGCACCCAGGATGGAAAAGACCGCATGCTGAGCTCCCTTCGCCTCCGTAGAGACTTCGAGGAAGGGACCTGGCTTTTGGCCGCGGATCGTTATCTCTCTTTCTTTGCTGCAGCTGTTTGCATTTTGGTAGGTCTCGCGTTTGTTCTGTGTCAGGCATCAACATGGCCAAACCGGGGCGGGGGGGGGGGGTTCTCACGGGCCCAGACAGTCCAACCAGAGACGGCGGGCGCGGGCAGCTGGGGGTGGGCTACAGTGCATTGTGGGGTCTGGTGGGCCCCCCCCCAGGGTGGGAGCCAGGTGAGGGGACACCTCGGGGTGCTTGCGAATGTCCCCACCCTGCGGGAGGAGAGTCTGGGAGCCGGGCGGGGACTCGAGGTTGCGTGGAGCGGCACTCCTGCCCTCTTGGGCTGGGGGCATGAGAGCGGGCGGGGAAGGAGGGCCGGGTGCCGCCCCCCACCCCGAGGGCCTGTGTGGGCTCAGAGCGGCCGGGGAGGAGTGCTGGGAGCTCTGCAGAAGGCGTGGGGTGCTGCTGAGGATCCACCAGTCAGGCCTGTGTATGTGTGTGAGAGTGACATGAGTGTGTCTGCGTGTGTGCTCGAGAGCACGTGCATCGGTGAGTGTGAGCACCGGTGTGTGGCTGCCTCTGGGCAGGTTTGTGGGGGAACCGGGCGGTGTGGCCCCTGGGGCTCCCCTGAGGCCTCTGCCTGCTTTGGCACGGGCACCTCGCCGGTCTGCGTGGGGGAGGTGCCCCCTGCTGGCAGCCTGCTGCACTCTGGGCATCCGCCGTGCCATCCCTTTACGGGACCCGACCTCGCGGTCACCCCAGGGCTTCATGTTTGCTGAAGAAGGGTCTTCCCCATTCCCCAAAACTCCCACAATGCACTGCACGATTCCAGGGCAGGGGGCCTTGGGGGGCCTGGAGGGGCCGGGCAGTCACTGGTTGGACTGTCGCTTTCTGACAGGACTGTGAGGCAGGGCTGGGCACAAGCCGACAGGGAAGGGGTGGAGGGGAGAGGAGGAGGAGAAAGAAAAAGGGGGTGGGGGGCAGGAAGGGTGACTACGCTGTGGCTGTCTCTGTGACCAGGGCCCTGCATTTCTGGGGTCCCGGGGAGGCGCAGAAAAGACAACTCAAGCCAGTGGAAGTAGGGCACGTTCCCCACCCAGGTCAGGGGTGGGGGGCAGCTGCATCCTCTTTGCTAGACTAGGTCGGACACGGCCCCTGGGGCTTCCTGGGGAGCCCCCACTTCCAGGCCAGGGGACCAGGGACAGGACAGCCCCTCGTGGCTCTCCACGCCCACCTGCCCGGGGTTCACTGGGAGGGCGGCGTCTCTGCGCGCCAGCGGCAAGGCCCCCGTGAGCTGCTCTGTCTCCCCGCTCGTCCTCACCAGGGTCCATGAGGCCGCTGCCTACCTTTCCTGGAAGACTCTGCACTGGGTACCTCTGGAGTGCCAGAACCTTCTTTACATCCAGCCTGACTCTGGAGCTGGCCCCTTGTGGTCCAGACAGATCCCCTTCCATTCCCAGCCAGGGCCCCAGCCCCTGAGTCTGCCTTACTTTTGCAAAGGACACCGTCTCCAACCTGACTGCCTCCCCAGGAGCAGAGAGCACCCCGGGGCAGGGCCCAGCCGGTGGCCTCGGCAGCATCTTTAGGAATGGCGGGGCGGCAGGGACAGGGTTTCAGCACCCTGGCCAGCGCCCGCGACGGCCCAGGGGTCCTCCTTCTTCTGGTGGCCTGGCGCCTGCCCTACGCTACCCCTCTGCCTCAGGTCAGGGCTCAAGCTTGCTGCCAGCTTCTGCAGCCAGAGCCAGAGACCAGAGCGGGGGGAACTGCCCCAGAGGAAGTCTCTGCGGCTGGCCTTTCTCCGCAAGCCTCACGTCAGCCTCCCTGAGGACCCATCTGCCCCTGCATCTCGGGCCCGGCACTGCTGGGTGGGAGGTGGCGCAGAGGCATCCAGCCCTGTCCCCACTGTTGAGTTGTCTTGGAGGAACAGAGGAGGGTGGGCAGGGGCCTGCACAGAGGGAGCAAGGAGGAGGAAGAGGGGCCCTGAGCTCTCAGAACACACTGGGAACCACCTTGCAGGGAGGGCCGAGGGAAGGGCCGCTGGCTCTAGTGGGGATCAGAGGACAGGCAAGAACTGGCAGAGCCAAGGGGATGCTGGGAGGGGGCCCTGGAGAGCAGGGGTGTGGCTGGCCCTGGGCAGGGAGGGGGGCAAGCAGGGGCATGGGTGGGGTGGGGTGGGGAGAGGAGGGTGCACTGGTTCTGAATATACTTGCCCTTCAGTTTGCTGATTGGCACTGGGACAGTCCACCAAGAGAGAAAGCGAGGAAAACAAAAACAACACAAACACAAAAACAAACGAAAAGGGGGAGGGGAAGGGGAGGGGCACAAACAATATTTTATTCAATGGCTGTTTGAATGAAAATATTGTGTCTTATCATCATACCGAAAGGAAACTTCTTGCAAAAAACGACATGAGAGAGAAAGAGAGAGCAAGAAAACTCAAAGGAGATGAGCCCCAGCGGGCCAGGCAGGTGGGGGGCGCCCGGTGGGGCCGGAGCCCCAGCCTCCCTCCCCGAGACCCGGGCGGTGGGCAAGCGGGGCCACAGGCTCCGGGAGGCCCAGGGTGAGGGGGACATGCAGGGATGAGCCGCAGGCAAAAGAGTGGGGAGGGGAGGGCAGGAGGGAGGGAGGGCGAGAGGATGGGAGGGAGGGCCTGGAAGGGGGAGGGGGGAAGCAGAGAGAGCGGGGAGGGGTGCCGGGGAGCAGAGAGGGGGGGAGGCGATGTGGGAGAGAGAAATGGGGGGAGTGAGCAGAAGGGGAGGGAAGAGAGGGAGACAGAGAAGGTGGGGCATCGGGGAGGGGAAGAGAAGGAAGGAGGGAGGGAGAGAGGGAGAGAGAAAAGAGGAGGGGCGGAGAGGAAGGGAGGGGAGCAGAAGACAAGGGCGGAGGTCGCCGGGGGTGGGGGGAAGGTGAGTGGCGATGCTGGGGGGGACGGCAGAAGGACTCTGCAGAGAGACTTTGGGGGCGGCGCTGCAGGGGCGAGCGCCCCGGGGAGGAGGGGGAGGAGGGATGAGAGGCAGGTGTCTTCCAGGAACGCAGCCCCCAGGGGTGTGCGGGGGAGGCAGGCTCAGGAGGGAAGACACGGAGTAGGAGGAACCAAAAACAGAACCTCAACGAAAACCATGAGAGAATGGGAGGGTGGTCTGGAACCAAGTCTACGAAGAGGCGAGCATGCAGATTTCCACAGACTTTCCGGGCAGCTGCCCCGGCCTTCGGGCGCCTGGGGGAGGGCAGATTGGGCAGGAGGGGCTGCCCTGCCACAGGCAGCTGGCTACGCTGCCTGGGGCCAGCTGGGGTGCGGGGCAGAGGCAGGGGTGCAGGGCACAGGCAGGGGCTGGCCACTTACACTTGACCTGTAGGATCTGGTCGCTGAGATTGGCTTGGAGGTAGAAGGTGCCGTAGGGAGGGAGCACGAGCCCTAGGCTGGGAGGGGGGCAGAGGGCGCACAGGTCACTGCTGGGGAGAGGTGGGCTGCACTGGCACCCCTCCCCGTAGCTGTGGGGCTGGGCAGAGACCTAGAGTGTGGCTCCCCTCCCCGGACCACCAGGGACATCTTTCCCTGGTGGGAGGTTCATGGCCTCGGGGCCTGGACCCTCCACTCCCCAAATTCTCCTGGATGCCTGAGAACTTCCGGCCCCAAAGCAAATCACCTCACCCCTCACGCCCAGCAGCGCCCCCCAACACACCAACTGCCGGCCCAGCCCCCTCCATCCGCCAGCAGCAGACTCACAAGGGGCAGAACGCCTTCAGAGAGCCAGGCTGGGGCGGTGCTGCTGGGGGAGTGGGGGCTGCCGTCCCCAGGGGTTCGGGCCACGAGGGCCAGCCGAAAGCCGGCCTAGCGCTAACATGGCTCGGTGCGGCTCGGGCCACTGCGGGGGTGTGAGCGAGACGCTGGCACTGCCGGGACCTGACCTGCTGGGGACCCGCCCCAGCCCATGACGCCTGTCGAGAGCAGGCCTGTGAGTGTGCTGAGGGGGACACCCTGGGTGCAGACACCCATGGGTACAGCCCAGGCAGGAGGGACGCGTCAGGTGCACCATCTTCTCTCTGTCCTGTGCTCCCGGGACACGGCGCTTGTTCCTGAGGGGTCAGCAAGAGGCCCTCGGGGACTGAGCGTCACGGGGTGGGACGTCGGCAGCCCCGGCTGCAAGTGTCCCCGGCGCTTCGGCGCCGGTGTGGGGGAGGGCGGGGGCATCTGGCCTGGGGGGCACCCTGCCCCTCCCTCCTGCCCGACCTTGGCCTCACCCACCTGTAGTTGGTGTTCCTTATAGGCACCCAGGTGTAGTTCCGTGTCACCTCGTCTATGTACCTCTGGGAGAAGAGGCTGGGTCAGGCAGTCGGGCACTGGGTGCGGTGGGGTCGTGGGGACGACAACATCCGCCCTGACTCGGTCCCTCCTCCACCACCTTCTCACCTCGTCCAGGGACTTGACCAACGTTCTGATCTGCTTGTGGCCCCTGTTGCCATCGATCATGCTCCGGCGGATCTGGAAGAGCCAGAGCCGTGAGGGTGGTGCCCCGCCCTCCTCTGCATGGGGGTTGGGGGGTGGGGGGGCGGTGTCCCATCTCCTCCCTTCCTCCCTCACCTCCTCCTTGTTCTCATCCTCTAGCTCCGCATCCAGGAAGTCCAGGGTCACGGGCTCCCGGAAGTTGCTCTGTGAGAGGCGGGGCAAGGAGTCAGGGGTGCCCCCCACCATAGGGTACACCCCCTCCAGGCCGCCCTCATGGCTCACCTGGGGCTTGAGGTTGGGGTGCAGCAACACGTAGCCGTTCAAGTCAATGGCAAACACGTAGCCGTTGGCTCCAAGCTGGGGGTGCAGATTGGGGGCTCAGAGCCTGCAGGGCAGGGCAGAGGACCCCCAGGCTCTGGGGCCCTTCCTCATCCTGCCTCCCATGCCCCGGAGGGGTCCGTCTGCCTGCCTGAGCCAGGCGCCCACGTGGGGCTCCAGCTTGCTTTTCAAGCCGAGCCTAGCAGACTGGTGCCCCTCACGCAACAGCCTTGGCCTAGGCTGACTGGCTTCGGGCACCACCACTGGTCTGCCAGCCTGCACTTCTCACCCCACCCCGGGTCCTAAGGGCTGTCAGCCGGAGGGCTCCGCCTCCACTGGGCCCGCAGGCTGCTGCTGCTCCCCTGCCCCCACCCCCACCGCCACCCCACCGCCGCCTCCGGGTCCCCATCTCAGCAGAGCACGCGGGGGGGGGAGTGGACCCTGGAATCCCACAGGCCTGGGCGTCCCTTCCAGCTGGAAGAGGAGAGTGAGACCCTGGACCCACCCTTACCTCTTAGCGGTTTTCTCAGCACACGGAGCCCAGGGACATGGGGTGGCCGTCGTGTGGCTCAGGCTGAGGACCGGAGTCACACACGCCCCCTCCCCACCCCTTTCACAGGCAAGACGCAAACGCCTTTCGCACAGGCCCTGGGCCGGCCACGCTGATCTGGCCCTTCCCTGGCTCGTGATTCTGTCTTCCACCTCCGACCTTTGTCCCGAGAATCCCCTCTAAGGTACGCCTTCCTCTCCTTTTTACCCAGGTCACTCCTGCCAGGCGACGGTCCAGGGGGCGTCCGCCACAGCCTGCCTGCCCCCGGCCCACCGCCTGTTAGTATATAGCTGTCGGCTAAGAATGGCTTTCACATTTTTAAATGCTTGAAAAAGATCAAAAGAACAATTGTATTTCGTGACATGTGAAAATCATCTGAAATGCAAATTTCAGGATCCACAAACAAAACTGCGTGGGAACACAGCCACGCACATTTGTCTGTTTTGTCTGCGGCTGTCTGCCCGCCCGGCGGGGGATTCAGGCGGGCGGGGCCTCCAACAGCCGTGGTCTGGCCCCTCACCGCCGGAGCGCTGACCCCGGCTCTAGGGCCAAGGTCACCTCCTCTGGAAGCCTTCCCTGACCGCCTGAACGCTGAGGTCTCCGCGGGGGGTGTCCTAGTGGCCCTCAGTCTCCTCTGCGGAGCCTGGCTGTGTCCCCACAGGAAGCAGGGCGGGGCGGACGTGCAGGCGGGCACTCACCGTGTAGTTGGGGGTCAGCCTCTTGATGTCATTCAGAGCCACGTCGATGCCCATCACGCCCAGGATCAGCTGGTTCTGGGAGCGGAGGCTGGGGGTCTGCGATGGGCTCAGTCCCACCCCCACGCCCAAGGCCTCCAGCTGCTCTCACAGGTGCCCCCACCCCCCCACCCGGTCCAATGGGCAGGCCTGCCTACTCCTTCCTCCTCCCCAGGCTGCTCTGAGCATGCTGGCCCCCCAGGCATGCCTTGTCCTGCCCCAGTGGGTGGGGGGGGGGGCTCACCTTCTTTTCCCCGGGGCCATCCTGCGTCAGGTTGAATACTGGAAGTGTCCCTGTCACCACCAACCCCAGCCCCTGAAGGGAGAGGGGGAGGATCGGGTGGTCTCCACGGCCAGCCACGCCCCCTCCAAGTGCTCAGAGCAGGGGCTCGGGGGCAAGCCACCTTTCTTGCTCCTTTGTTTGGATTACCCCCATCACGGTGTCCTCAAGGGGCACGACCCTGTGGTGGGTGCATCCGTGGGGAAAGGTCACCAGCCCCACCCCTTCTTTGCCCGGGGGCTTTACCAGCGCGTCCTCATACACGTTGGTCCATTGCACCTGCTTGGCCTCCTTGCCCGCCAGCACCATGGGCCTGCCGAGGACGTCTAGATATTCCTGGAGGGGGCACGGTGGGCAGGGGTCATGAGCCTGTCCCTCCCACTGTCCCTTCCCTGGTCTGCCTCCCCATGTGACATTGTGCCACCAGGGGGCGCTCTCACCCCGCAGCAGCTCAGCACAGGCGCTGACCCCCTGGAAGCAAGGGGCTGGGAGGCGGGGCCACCCCACAGTCTTACCTGCGTGTTGATGCGGATGGCGCCGATGGAAGGGATCTCAAAATAGTAACCTGTGAGGGAAGGCGAGGCAGAGGCAGGCCTGGGTGAGGCTCAGGACCCAGGGCTCCGCGGGCCTGCACCCTGGGGTGTGTCTGCAGCCCTGACTCGTCCCTCAGGCTCCCTCTTTTTGGTGTCAGTCCCCCTGAGTTCCCCTTAGCGTCCCTGTGAGTGCAGGGGTGTGAGGAAGCTGAGCAGGGGGGGAGGGGCGAGGAGAGGAGTGGAGGCCTGAAGTCCCTCTTTCTAGGCCGGCAGCGACACTCAGAGGCCACCCAGGGGACCCGCCCGAGTGCCGGGACAGATAGATGGGCAGCAAACAGACCCAGGAGCAGACATGGGGGGAGTCACTGGGACAATGGACATTTAGACAGATGGGCGAAAAGATGCCCAGTCAGATGGACACGTTGGCCAGCCAGACAGAGAGACAGATGGACGGTCCCACGTGTGGAAAGATGAACAGACAGGGGGTGGACATGCAGCCGAGCCTAGGGGAGGCCAGGTGGACAGCCAGCCTGGCGGGTGGCAGGACACGGCAGGCAGGCCGGCCCGTGGCAGCGGGGTCCGGGCGAGGCACCTTTGTTGGCGCAGGCCATCCACTGCAGGGGCGTCACGTCGTAGTTGTGCTGCCCGACGGAGAACGTGAACACGCGCACCTGTGCGGGGCGGGGCCCGGGGTCACTGCCGCGGCTGCCGCTCGGCCCCGCAAGGCAGCCCCCCCCGCCCCCCGCTGCCCCCGCCCCACCCAGCCGGGCCGAGCCTCACCGTGCGGTTGGGCCAGTTGTACTTCTCGAAGACGTCCTGCACGCGGTCCTCGCCGCCGTCCGTGAACATCATGATCATCTTGTTGCAGTTGGCGCGGGTGATGTTGGACTGGGCGAGGGGGGGGGAGGGTCAGGCGGCTCCAGCCCCGCCAGGCCTGACCCCGCCCCCCGTCCCCGCCCCCGTCCCGCCCCCGCCCCCAGGGGAGGGGGCTCTCTGGTGCTAACAAGGCCGTTCCTCTGGATGGACGTCACCGAGCCCGGGCCCGCCCGCCCACCCCCCGCCAGCCCAGGGGCTCACATTCTGCAGCTGGTCGAAGGCGTACTCGAAGCCGGCCTTGTAGCCCGTGGTGCCCTTGGCCACCATGCCCTGCACGGCCTCCTTGAACACCTTCTTGTTGCGCACGTTGGCTTGCACCAGGTGCGTGAAGCATGACACGGGCTGCGCCTTCTCGTTGAACTGCGGGGACGGCGGGGGCGGTGACTGCAGCCGGCGGGTGGGGGCGGCCCGCTCCCCGCCCGCCCGCCGCCTGGGCACTCACCGAGGCTACGTTCACGTAGTCGTCGTCAGAGAGCGTGTCCAGCATCTCGCAGACGGACGTCTTCATCAGCTTCAGGGTCAGGCCGCTCACGCTGCCGCTCCTGCGGAGGTCAGGGGGCGCCAGGTAGGCCGCCGGTGCTCTCCCTAGGGTGTCCCTGGGCAGCAGATGCCGGCCCCTCGCCCTGCCCCACCCCTCCTGCCCCCATGGCCCACTCACACGTCCACGATGATGACCATGTCCTTGGGCGACGAGGCCCCCTGGATATACCTGCCGGGGAGAGGCTCCAGTCAGGGCCAGCCCCTTTGGGACCTCGTGGGTCCCTCCCCCCTTCTCCCACACAGCGATTCAACATGTTTCCATGGGGCATCCCCTGCGCGGGCCATACAGGGTCCTAGGCACTGAGGACACTGTTTTATAAAACAGTCCCTGCCCATGACATGAGCGACCAGGTCCCCCAGCACATAAACGACCCTAGGGAGGGGTGAGCCGCTGATCTGGATCGGGGGCCGGAGGTATGGGCCCCGGTCTCAGTGGCCTGTGGTGTTCCCCAGCCCGGGTGAGGCCCAGAGGGCGGGTCCCAGCTGTGTGCGGGGAGGAAGAAAGGCGTGGGCTCCTGCTGGGGAGGCACGGCGAGGGGAGGGTTCCGGTGGGGGGCGGGCGTGGGCCAGGCCCACAGAGGGCACCTCCACCCTTGGGACGCTCTGAGGGCCCCACCCCTCCGTCCTGAGGGGGTGAAGTGCCGGGCAGTGGCCGGGGGCAGAGCCGCTGGGAGGCCTGCCTGGGTGATGGGGTCCATTTTCCAGCGGCAACGATGTGTGAAATGAAAATTGGACAGAGCTGGCTGCGCCCTGCTCAGAGGCCTGGAGATCGGGGGCGGGGGGAGCAGGCGGGGGGGAGACGTGGGGAGTCCAGGGGGCGTCCCCGCCCAGCCCCTGCTGGCTCGCTCACCAGGGTCTCCTGCGCACGTCATACAGGTCGATTTTCTTGGGGGCTCGCCACGGGGTGGCTGTAGGGGGAAAGGAGGTGAGCGGGTCTGGCGAGACTTGCGGGGGGCAGCCAGGCCACTCTGCGGCCTGTGGGGTGACCGTCCACCCCACACGCCCCCGGAGTGGGCAGGGAGATGGAGGCGGGTGGGGGGACTGCGCGGTGGGCCAGCCGGGCGGGCACCCACCCGGGTAGTAGCGTGTGACTCCTGTGGCGCTGCCGAAGACCTGCCACAGCAGCGTGGGGTCCTGCCTGCGGTTCTCCGTGAACACGTTCTCCAGGGCCTCCGTCCAGTTGAGCTCGTTGAGAATGACAGTGGCTGTGGGGGAAGCAGCGGCTGGAGTGGGGAGCGCCCGGGCTGTCCCTGCTGACCCTCGCCGCCACCACGACACCCTGCACATGCTTCCCGCTTAGAAAGCTTCACCTGCTCTTCTCCTATCCGGGCTCTCCCTCACCGCCCAGGGCTCCGCTGGCTGGGGCTATACTACCTCCTCCAGGAAGACCTCCTGGTCCTCACCCCCTCCCAAGTCCTCGAAGAAACAGCTCAGCCTACCCTTCGGCCAGACCCTACCAGGGAGGGCAGCTGTGACCTGTGCCCAGCCAGGAAGGGCAGCTGTGACCCGTGGCCCCTGGAGAGGGGCCGCCCAGGTGGCAGGGAGTCGTAAGTTGGGATGCTGATGCAGCACGCTGCCCGGAGCTGGCGGCTGGCCCCCTGGGAGCTCACCCACTCAGCATGCACTCGGGGCTGCAGCCACAAGAAAGCAATTAAGGGCTCGATGATGGGGCTGGAATTATTCAGCTATTAAGGTACCTGATAAGCTGGAAGCCACTCAGCTCCATGATTAATCAACTGGGGCCGGGAGCAGGCGGGGGCGCGGGGCCTCGGAGGGACAGGTCCGTGCCACGATCCCGCGCCAACCCGGTCACGCAGGAGCACACGCACGCACACGCACAGTGCACCCCCCCACAGCTGTACCCGCCTCTAACCTCTGTGGCTCCAGCCAGCATGTGGTCCCCTTGTCCCCACCCTACCTGCCCAGCAGCCAGACTGCCGCCAGGGGCACCGGGACGCACACGCTCACGCCTGCACACCACCCTGCACCCCAACGGGTCCTGCTCCCACAGCCCCCCAGCCAGTTACCCTGTCCTTCTTTTCCCCCTCCGTGGCTGCCCACGGCAGACCTGCCCCTGTGCGCGCTCACGGAGCAAGGCTCCTCTCAGACGCGTGGGCTCCAGCCTGCGGACCCCTCCCCCTGGGCAGGGACTCACATGGCCGGGCAGTGGACCCGCTCCCCAGCTCAGGACAGCCCTCAGCCTGCCAAGGCGTGTGTGGTGCACGCTCTCACGGGTGCAGTGCACGTGGGTCTCTGCACGTGGGACTCCAGAAACCCGGCAGGGGCCCTGGCCGGGTGGCTCAGTTGGTTGGAGCATCGTCCCGTGAACCGAAAGGCTATGGATTCACTCCCCGGTCAGGACGCGTTCGAGAGGCGGACGATCAGTGTTCCTCTCTCGCATCGCTGTTTCTCTGCCCCCTCTCTCCCTCCCTTCTTCCCCTCTCTCCAAGGTCAGTGCGCGTGTCCTTGGGACACGGCGGGAGCCGGGCACCTGCTCCGGCCAGGGTCCGTGTTCACCTCTCCCCTGGGGGCGGTCTCTTCCTCAGTTTCTCCGACCTCCTTTCTCCCCAGCGCAGCCCAGACCCCAGCGCCCCACGGTCCCCAGCACCCCACGGTCCCCAGCAAGTGCAAACCAGGGAACGCCTCCCAGAGGCCCTGCCCTGAGCTCCAGAGCAGGCGAAGAGCAGTGAGTTAGAGACAACCCCCCGCCCCCGGCTCTGCCCACCGCCTGGCCGGGGCACGCTCCCCTCTGCCCCACTGCCCCGCCCCCTCCGGCCCGGCAGCTCCCTGAACTGGCCGTAATGTGAAAACAAAACGCATTTCTAGCGTTGGCTCTGCCTGTTGAACAGTATGCGACGGTCCTGTTCCTAATTTAGAAACTTAATGAGTTTAACAATTTCTATTTTTTTCTTTAAGGAAAAAAAAATAAAAGTTAGCCTTGCAAATGCTTCACACAGCACTGTGGGTCCTGGGAGAGTTGGCCTGGCGAGGCCCGCCCGTCCCTGGGCCTCAGTTTCCCGATCTGCACCACCAGGGCCTTGGAGCAGGCTGTCCTGGGAGCCTGCTCCAGCACCCAGCTGCTGGCAGAGGGGCGGTCCTGACTCAGGCCCAGAGCAGCCGGCTGACCCGGCGGGGCTGTCCCTGCGGGCGTCCAAGACTACATGCGCGCACACGCGCACACACGTGCACACACGCGTCCACTGCCAGACATACTCGTGCAGACGCTCCGGTCCCCACCCCGGCGAGGGCCGGCTCCTTGGCCCGGCGCTCACTCTCAGATCACGCTGAGCTGGGGAACGGGGACCATGCCCCCTCAGGCAGGCGATTACAGATTTAATTAAAAGTGACACAGTAAATAAAAAACATATAAAATGTAATTTGTGTGGGTAGCGAGGGGTGACCGGGGAGGGCGGTGTCGCTCCTGCTTTAATTAGGGTGCTGCCTGCGATAGTGCCCCTCCGCTGGCTCAGGCAGGTGGCCGGTGGGGGCGGGGCCCGCATCCACCCTCACCCCCTCGGCCCACCCAGAAGGCCCCCCTGAGGCCCCTGGAGCATTCCCTGCATTCTGGAAACTGTCGAGAAGCTCTGGGGCCTTTGTCCCAAGGCCCTCCACCCAGTGGGCACCCCGGATTCCGAGGCTACCCCGGAGGTGACCCCAGAATTATGTCAGAAGCAAGAGACCCTAGAGCCTTAAATCCTGCTGCTAGAGCTCCCCTTCCAGGGTTTGACTCTTGGCCTCCTCCCCTCACATCTCCGAAGACCTTCAGTAAGTCCTTCCTCACGTCTGACTGAGATCCTTCTAGCTGCAGTCACCTGGTTTCCCCACTGTGCCAAACTGCGCCCCCTGGAGCCTGGAATCTCAATCGCCTTCTACCCAAGCCTCCCCACACGCACACCCCCCATGCCCAGGAGAAGGAGGGAAGCGCCATGGGGTCGGTGTGAGGAGTTGCACCCTGACCCCCAGTCCCCAGGTCCGTCTGATGTGGGGGCAGGGCACGGAGGGCGGGTGGGGAGCCGCTTTGGCTTGTGCATGTGTTCGTGTGGGCACGCGTGTGCGCGCACGGGAGGGGACCGTGCACGGGGCGAGAGGCTTGCTGCTTTGTGCCTGCTGGGAGCCTGCGCCTGGCAGTCGCTCGGTGCCCGGGTGGGTGTGAGTGATGCTGAGAGGTGGGCGCGTGTGACCTTGGGTGGGGGGGACTGAGGGGGGTGTTGCTGGCCGGCACCTGGGACCCGGCAGTGCCCGGGCGGTGGGCCCTGGCCCGCGGTGCGCGGGGGCTGCGTCCCCGATCTCACTGCACTCACAGCCTTTGTAGATGTCTGTGGGGATCTGCACTGCTGTGTACGAGTAGTTGACCTTGTTCTTGAAGTTGGAGTCCTCCACGAAGTCCAGCCTCAGGGTGCTGACCTTGGACCCCCTCTCCACATCCTCGATCTCGGGGTCATCCTGCAGAAGGGGACACCCCCACCACACAGCGTAAGGGCTGGCGATGGTGGAGTGGGGCCGAGGGGCCAGAGTCTAGGTGGTGGGGGCATCTCAGAATCAGAAGATTGCAGACAAAGAGAGAGAGAGAGGGAGAGACACGGGGTACGGACCCCTCACCTGGCGGCCTCTGGCTTCCACCTGCCCCTGCTCAGCCCACCCACCATCCCCACATCTGCTGAACCCAAATTTGAAAACCAAACCAAACTGAGCCCTTCCCCACATCCTTGAAAACGAATTATCAGCTAGGAAGGCGAATCTTGGAGCCGGTGAGGGGCGGGTGGCAGACCTCTGCCTACGGGACCTGCCATGTGCAATCCCCGCGGGAGGACTGGGCAGCCCTTCCCAGGAGTTCTGTGTCGCCCGCCCTGCCCCCGCCCCGCCCCGCCCCGCCCCACAGCCGAGGGCCCTGCAAGGAGCCCCGCTGGACGCAGGGAGGGCGCTCTGGCCCTATCTGGGGGAGGGGCATCGCCCCCGCAGCAGATTGGCTCTGGGGGCTGAGTAGCGGGCGTCCTGGGGAGAGCAGGGCTGGGGCTTAGCGTTGAGACCGGCAAAGCCCCCGTTGACTTTCTAAAATGAGCTGCAGCCGCCTGACAGGTGCCAATTACTGCGTCTCTGGCCCGGCAGGCTGGGCATGCGCAGTGCGCCCCCGCCCACCACCACGGGCTGGCAGGAGCGGGTCTGCTACGACAGCGTTGACGCACAGCCGGGAGGGGGGCAGGCACGGGGTGCAGGTGCGCGGGAGGGGAGGGAAGATGTGGCGGGGAGTGAAGGGGAGGCAGGGGAGAGGCAGGCAGGGCAGGGGCAGGGTTGGGGGGCTCTGTGCCCCTGGAGGAAGTGGCGTGAGCAGCTGATCCACCCACACGCTCCCTCACTGCCCCACGAAACCCCCGTGACCACCCTGGGCACCAGGCTCCACGCCACGGATGGCGCAGTGACAGCGGCCCCCACGGCTCCCTGGGTCCTGGGCACCCCCCCACCCTGAGGCTCCTGCCTCGGGTTGTTGGCACGGGCTGTGACCCCGTCTGGGGGAAAGGGCAATGGCGCCCCCCAGCCCGGGGGCTTTCCTGGAGAGGGTGCAGCGGCTCTCAGGGGCCTGCAGCAAACCCCCTTTCCTGTCTTCATCGGTGGGTTTCCTCCAGTGCGACTGGAGCTGCGTCCCGCCCTCCCGGTGTGCCGCCCCTCCCCCTCCGCCACCTCCGCGCGCCCCGGGAGGGCCCTGGAAGCTCCGGGCCACTGGAGAAAGCTGGGCAGGCGGCTGCCTGGCGGAGGCCAGAGCGGGGAGCCGCTGCCTCTGAGGCGTGAGCCGCTCACGTTCCGTGCGGAGGAGGGGCAGGCTCGGGAGAAGAAAGCCCCCGAAATGTCAGCGGCAGATGAAGGGCGCTGGAAAATTTAATCTCCCAACTTTCCCAACTAATGTGACATTTGGATTCCGTTCTGATAAGCTATCAGCTGGAGAACTTTTTCCTTCCTTCTCTTTCCCCTACCCCCACCTTCTGGCTGGTAATTTAAAAGTAAATGGTCTAGAAAGATCTCTAACTGTACCTCTGGCAAAGATTAAAAAAACAAAGCAACACAACAAGCAGGGGAGTCGGCAAACGTGTGGAATTGACACCAGGGCCACGCTGGGCTGGGCTTGCCGCCGCCTGACCTCAGCTCAGCCCCGCCCTCGGTGGGGGTCCCTCCTGGGGTCGTCAGCCCCCCAGCAGATGCCCAAGGGGCCAGGGGCAGATTGGGGATGTCCTGGATACACTGGGGGTTGTTGGAAGCAGGGAGAGTTCAGGAGCTCAGCAGGGGCCCGGCCTCCACGCCGGCCAAGGAGTGCTCGGCGCTGCCCCCCGCGCCCAGGGGCTTTGTATGGTGGTCTCCCGGTTTATATTTAATGCGCTGATTGCTAAAATTACAGCCTGCTGCCGAGGGGGGGGGGTAAGGAGTTAGATTCAGGGTCTAATTAAAGGTTCGCTCTTCATTTGAATTTCAGATTCCAGCTTTAATTTTAGCAGTTTCTCTGGGAGCCACGGAGGCTCAGCCCAGGGGGAAGCACACCGGCTGTGGCCCACCCACCTCTGCTCTCTCCTGCCCGCCCGGCCTCCTCGGGGCGCGCCCAGGCCAGCCTGGCACCGCAAAGGGCCCTCGGCAGGGGTCCCCTCCTGCCTGCCCACCTCCTGGTGTCACTGGGCAACGCCTGCCCCCCCCAGGACTCTGCTCGGGCCGGTCAGCCTGGTTGGGGAGGTCTGGGTGCTGGGGCTGCGGCGCAAGCCAGCACAGGCGAGGCCCCGGGGACGGGGCTGCTGAGACACCTGTCTTCAGAGGAGACAGCGGGGCTCAACTGCTTTCGCCTCAAAGGCAGGCAGGTGGAATTGGGCCTTGACAGGTGACCAAACACCATCTACTCAACACTCTCGTCTCCTCTGCAGTCCCCGGTCCCCGGGAGTGCTGTCCGTCATCTGAAGAGCAGGCCCAGGACTGGGGCTGCCTCCGCAGCTGGGGCGAGTCTGCCCGAGCTCAGGGCCAGGCACGCTGAGCTGCTGGTCCCCTCGCCAGAGGGCAGGGCACCTGCACTGACTTGAAACACACCTGGATGGCGCTGCATCCTGTATCTTGGCCCTGCTGCCACCTCCAGGAAGCCCTCCCCAACTGCTCTCGCAAGCACCCGGCATCCCTCAGTTCTGGTGAGGGAACTGCCCGTGGGAGGACCCCCGAGGGGCAGGGTCCGGGCCTGGGCACACCGTGCAGGGAAGCTGTGTCCCTCGGCGCCGCAGACACACGGCCCTGGAGGGGCCTGACCTCTCGGGGTCTGTCTGGGGCGGGTGCAGGGTGGGGTCCTGACCCACCGCAGCCCTGCGGGCTCCAGCCCAGAATCCCAAGGACAGCCAAGTCCCAGCACTCACTTCCTGGCGGAGGCCACTAGCCCGGAGAGGGTGCGAGGCTCTGGTGGCTGCCCCTCCCCCGGCCGAGGCGGGAGCACTCACCAGCTCGGCGTCAGCCTTGGCGTCATAGTACACGATGTCTTCCTCCTGGGTGGGGAGAGAGGCCTCAGCACGCACGGCTCAGGCACCCCGGGGGTGCAGCCAGGACCCCCGGCCCCAAGGCCTAGAGCGGACTGCCCCCAGACTCCTGCACCCGGAGCTCCCGTCCGGGGGGGCCGGCTGAGTCAGGTCAGGCCCAGGACACCCTTTCCCCCAAGAGACCGGGGAGGGTCCTGGGGCCCTCGCCACTCCCAGCCCAGGGTCCTTGCCCTGCGGCCTCGCTGCCTCTCGGGGAGAGAGAGCCGGAGCCAAGCCTGGCTGCCGAGAGAGACTCTGGCTGCGGCACAACCAGGGGGAGAGAGAGGGAGACGGGAAAACAGAGCCGAGTCTGGGCGGCAGCGGAATAATGACTCGGCACCGCATCTTCCAATTTCTTCTATTAAAAAGCCTGCTCATTACGGGCATGTACTTATTAATTATCTGTGATTTGTTGTGAAATGCAAGGAGGTTTACACAACAGGCGGGGCAGCAAACAAAGCCCGGCCCGCTCCTGCCCTCGGCCGCCTGCGCCCGCCCGCCCGCCCGCCCGGCGCCTGGGTTCTTGGCCATCTGCACATCGTAATCACCGGCCACCCGGGAGACCCGTCACACAAACGGGCTAATTTCGTGGGTAATGATCTTTAATCAGAGCCGAGCGTGGCTGAGAGGGGCCGCCAGAAGGTGAGGCGGGCGCCACCCAGCGGCACCCGCTCGGGAGGAGCCGCCCCGCCCCTGCCCCGACGGGCACCGGCGCAAGGACGTGGGGATGGGGCCGCCGCCCGGGTCACCCTCCCCCCGCGCGCCTCCGCCCTGTTTCGTGCGGTGGGACCCGCAGCACGGCTCTGGCAGCCCCCTGCCCACTGGGAGCCTGTTTCTCCGTGGTCTGAAGATGGGGGTGACGGCCCAGGGCGCTGACCAGCAAGCACAGAGCCCGCCCTGCCTCCGCGGTGGCCGCCCCTCCCCTGCGCCTGGCAGACCTGCGTGTGCTCTGGGACCTCAGGGTGGCACTGCGCCCTCTCTGAGCTCAGGCTCCTTCTGCTTGGGGAGGGGCGTGGCCGTGGTGACTGCCCAGGATCTGAGGTGGTCAGAGGGCGGCTTGTTGTGGGCAACAGTCCTGGGGTGTTTCCCACCAACGGTCTGGGGGTGGCGCAGGCCACTGGCTGGACCTGCGGGCACATGCAAGGGTTGTGGGTGCTGAAGACGTGCCCGGCAACGCCGTGGGCGGGACCACGACCTTACGATGAGTGTAAGGCTGGGCCACTCGAAAGTTTCAGTCACCTGAGGCATCTGCACCGGGACCCGTCCACACGGAAGGGGACACTACGGGACACTTCGGCAGAGAGGCTCACACCCTGGCTCAGCCCGCCTTTCTCACCCGTCCCCCAGCCCCGCCCACACCCGCCGGCCCACCAGCTCAGGGAGCCTGGGGCCCAGGGGCGCCCGGGTGGGGGCGGGGCCGGGCGGCAGGGTGCCTGGCCTTTGCAGCCCGCTCCAGACCGAGGTGCCTAATGAAAGCTGACATTACATCAAACACAATAAGGAGTTTCAGTTGATGAAGATCGTTCCTGAACACACAAACCCATTAAACCGAGGGGAAAAATATCAATTCAACACACTCGCCGGAGAGAAGAAAATGTGATTTGTTATCTGAAAGGGGTATAAACACGGCGGTGCGGATCTTCCCCTCAGCGGCGAGAACGGGCCGCGCGGCGCGAGGACTGCAGATCAGCACGGGGGCTGCACCCCCGACTTTTGGGGGAACCCTCTGCAAGGGCGGGGGAAGGGCACGGCTGGTGGGCGGTCACTCCAGGGCCTCCAGGATCCCCGGACTCCTCACGGCCGGCCGAGGCGGGTCCTGCCTGCACCTTTGCCCCGGGACCCCTCCCGACTCCCGTGCATGTACTCGGGCACCCCTCCAGCCGCTCCAATGGCTCCCTTTTCCTTGATTCATGGCTTCAGCCTAGAATCAGATGTTGGTGGCACCAGGGACACAGAGGGCACGTGCTGGACAGGAGGATTCCAGTCCGCTGCAGACCACAGGAGGTGAGGCACAGGAGTCTGTAGGTTGCCCTTGTCCCCAGGGCCTGGGGTGCACGTAGGCAGGACCCCTCCTCGCCCCCTCACCTTCCCCACCTTGGAGGGCCAGCTCACCTTGGCTGAGGGTGGCGGCAGGCAAGGTCACGCGTGTGAAAATAAGCGTAAAGACAGCTGTGGTTGCTATGCTCTGTGAGGTGTGGAGCCTGGGTGTGGCAGACACCACGGGGCTTTCAGGGTCGGGTGGGGGGTGGGAGGTCCCTGGACCAGCCTCCGGGCCTGCTCGGTCTGCACGGTGCCCGCTGTCCACCACTGTGGGGCGGACAAGGAGGCAGTGCCACCCAGCGATGACGAGGGGTCCTGGCCCTGATCTTGACCCAAACACGTGACCTCTGGGGTCCTCAAGCAGTGAGTGCAGACCCGAGTGGGCCTGTGAGGATGCCCGGGCGTCCCCTTAGCTCACTGGCGAGGCCAGGGTGCCTCTTAAGCCCTTTTGAAGCCTCACTGTTGCCTCCATGAGACTCTGCCTCAGGGTCAGGGCTCCCACTTCCGAAATCGGGGTGATGCCTCCTCTGAGGCTGCTCACAGGGCGGGAGGTGGGCCTCCCCAGGGGCAAGGGCCACTGTTCCCCGCGGGTGGGGCCCCACCTTGTGTCTGCAGCTGCACAGACCCGGGAGGGGCACGAGGGTATCAGGACCCCCGGGTGGGGTGAGAGGGACGGTCCAGGCTGTCTGGGGATCACACCACTTACACCCCCTCCACCCTCTGTGGGCTGGTACTCGAGGGGCCCTTCTGCTCAAAGTGGGCTGGGGTGGGGGGTCGCCCCCTGTGAATTCACACCCCCATGTAGATTTCTGTGCATGGATGATGCACGGTGGGGGGGGGGCGCCTGGGAGTCCACATGGGCCTCGTGCAGGTGACAGACTCTCCTCGGCCGGAGCTGAGCCCTAGAGAGGGCACAAGGCGCACTGGCAGGTGGGGAACAGGGTGACGACGGGGGGGTGGCAGTTTGGTGGATAGGGGGCCCGGCCAGACCTGACCTCGGCCTGCCCACCAGGCATCTGTGCCCGGCCCGGCTACCCCAATGAGGACGCCTGGCCTCCCAGCCGGGCTTGCCGCCAGCTCGACTCAGCCAAGAGGACTGTTTTCTGAGAGAGCCGTCTGCCGCCGGCTTGGCAGAGAGGCAGGCAGCCGGTCTGATGGCTGGGGCCGACCTGGGGCCAGGGAGGCCACCTGTCCTGTCCACCCAGCTCCTCCAGCCTGGCCCAGCCTTCTCAGGCAGAACCGCCTCTCGCACCAGACCCCCCAGGGCAGGGCTTTGTCTCCTGCGGGTCCTGGCATCAGCCTGGGGGCCCGGGGGCCGCACCTGCCTCCCCCACCCACGCCCTAGCCTAGCTCCCTCCCGGTGGCGGGTTAGAAGGCCGACGATGCTGGCGCAGTGAGGTGCTGCAGCCAGGTACAGCATCCGGCAGGTGGGCCTTCTTCATCCACCCTGCATGTCAGGGGCACCAGAGCGCCAGGTGCCAGTCTGCAGCGGCCATGGTGGTGCTGCCTGCCAACCAGGGCCGTGGTTTCTCCGGTGTCCAAGGCCGGTGGCTACAGGTTCCCGGCCCCGGCCCTGGCCCTGGCCAGGCGTGTGAGGTAGAAAGGGTGGGAGGGGACTTCATGCCCAGACGTCTTGCCCCTCCCTCTCTTGTCCTAGCCCTGACCCTGCGGGCTCTGGGGGCCCCCCCCCCAAGTCCCCACGCTGGTGTGTATGTGTGAACAGAGGCACGCCACTGTCTGTTTCTCAGGTCTATGTGAAGACCTACTGTGTGCTGTTGGCAGCAGGAGGGCCACACCCCACGGATCATGCAGGAGATTGCAGTCTGGCCCCCACAGGCCAAGCATCTCCTCTGTGCCCAGGGGTGTGGGGCGCCCCCACCCCCACTTCAGAGGTATAAGAAGACCAATGTCCAGCTGTTCCTGGTCACTCCGTCCGCAGGGCTAGGTACAGGGACAGGTGATGGGCAGCACTAAGTCAGGCCCGGCTGCTTCCAGCCTGGGGGGGCCATGAGTGGGGCAGACCGAGGGGCCCACTGGGCGCCGGCCTGGGGCGGCCTGCCCTGGGACCGCCTGGGGGTGGGGAAGGGAAGGCCCGGCCTGCGTGAGGGGCCTGAGTGTGACTCGGGGGTGCAGGCACAGGCCGGGTGCCCCTCCCGAGTGCTGGGGAGGGACACGTCTCCTTATTGGTCACCTCCTGAGGGTCGCTGGGAAGGACGTGGTTTCAGTGATGGGGGGTGTGCCTGTGAGCGACAAAAACAGCATCCCTGCCCCAGCCGCAAGTCCAGGTGTCTCTCGGCACGGCCGGTCCCACCTGCAGCGGAGGCCGGGTCTCCGGCAGCGGCGCAGGCTGGGTGGGTGGCGTGCCGGCCCACGGGCCCACCATCGGCACTGATCAATGCCTCTCAGCCTGGCGGCTGGGGCAGAGCGGGGCCCTGCCCCCGCAGTAGAGGGGGTGACTACAGCTCTACCCTGCCCAAGGGACCGGTGGGACGGACAGACAGGCAAACTGAGGGACTGGCGGAGGGGCGGGGCGAGCATCAGGCAAACATGGCTTCGCCCCGCCCCCCCACACCCGGTGGAGGGAGAGGCTTCTGTGGCTGTGGCAACCTGGTCTCGGTCCCAGCCTGAGGGCCCGGGGACGTCCAGGGCAGGGGTTAGTGTCTCTCTTGGGCCAGGGCATGCAAGTTGGAGAGATCCTGTCGTCAAGAGGCTTCTTGGCCCTGGGGGCTCCCCAAGGAGTCTGGGCGCCCCCTTAACCACCAAGGCGACACCCGTTTTGGGGAGCATCACCTTGGGGCAGCCCGCCCCCTCCCCGGGCGCCACGGCAACTCTGCAGCGGAGGACCGGTCCGTGTCTGCACCCTGTGCCCCAAGGCCGAGGGGTTCCTGCCCACTCCACGGAGCCCCGGGGCCCTCCTGGGCAGACTCCCCCACGCACATGCACCCTTGCTGGGGGTGGCACTACCGTGCTTACCTTGATGTTGTCCTGCCAGCGGTGGGCCTTCTGGAAGTTCTCCGCAGCATCAGCCAATCTCTGGGGACAGAGCACAGGCAGGTCAGAGGCTGGGGAGCTGCCGAAAGTGGCTGAGGGGCTCGCTCGTGTGCCTTTGCCCCAGCTGGCTCAGGGCCTGTGGCGCCCCTCTGCCCACGCAGGCCCACCACCACCACCGTCTCTGTTCTGGCTTCCTGGGCCCCTTCCCTTCCCCGCAGGGCTCTCCACGCCTTCTGTCCACGCGAGCCTGGCCTGTCGTTTGGGGCTGGTTCCTGCAGCCTCCTCCAACGAGGCCCCTGTGCCTGTGAGCACAGGTGCCTGCCCGTCCACCCCACACTTTGTTACACAGCATGCCTGGCGCCACGCCATGTGGAGCACCAGCCTGTCCCTCTCGCGGGTCAGAGGGGGCAACAGATGCATAACCAGGCGGAAGCGCCAGGGTTGGACTAGCTGGGGTGTTTCAGGGCTGTGGGAACCTGGGGTATCAGGGAAGGCTTCCTGGAGGAGGTGCTTAGACTACTGAGGTTCTTACTTTGCACTTCTGTGGATCCCGTCCCTCCAGAAAGTCTTAGGGCTCCTGAAGATGACCCTCTGGGGCCCCCCATAGGGCTACATGAGCTGAAGCCCCGCCACCAACAACTGTCACCGTGAACCAGTCACCCTAGGACAGCAACATGTCACATGTACCTGTCAGTGTCATGATGTGCCTGCTGTGTCCTCATCAGATGAGGACCCGCAGGTACGGGGATGGTGAGTGGCCTGCCCGAGGTTGGAGTGAGTCTGGGCTGGGCTGGGCCCTGAGCCTGACCCTTGCCACACGGCCACTTTGCCCAGCCCATGATTGAGGCCAGGAGGCACACTCCACGGGCCCATGATGTCTGGTGAGGGGCGGGATGGCTCTCGTGGGGAGAGGGGCTCTGGTCCCCCACCCCGACCCACTCCATCCTGTGGGTGGGACAGCAACGTCTTGCCTCCTGGCCTCTCTGCGTTCAGGACACACACCCTCCCCAGCCCTCCGTCCAGGCCTGATGTGGCCCGTGGGCCTTACGGGGCAGTTTCTAATGAAGCTGCGCCTCTGGGGGAAATGGGAGTCAGGACACGGGTGGCCAGCTTGGGCTCCGTCCCAGCACAGGACAGTGTGGGGGGCATGGTGGGACCCCTGCAGGGGCGCCGCCTCCACTCTCCGGGGCTGTCCAGAGCCATCCCCACCCCCGCTGGGCCTGGTGGCCCCTCCTGCTCAGGCCGAGCGCACCGAATGCTGGGAGCACCGTGAGGCTGGGGGCTCCGGGGGGGCCTGGGGGCCTGGGGGCAGAGGAGAAAAGTCCCTACTGAAGTCAAACCCCCTCACTTCATGATGCGGAGCCCCGCTGGCCTCCACCCCCTCTCCTGCTACCCCACCTGTTTGGAGCCTCCACCCTCTGCCCACCTGTTGCTGCTGGGCCTGCCTGTGCGGGCCCCGCCTGCCCTACCCAGCGCCAGGGACCACAGGCCTCTCTGCTCCCAGATGCCTCCCGTGTCTGCCCCCAATCCTGGACCCACCCCCCCCGAGTTCCTGGACACCCTCCGGGGGTGGTGCTCGGGCTCCTGGAGCACCCCCACCCCCACTTGGAATGAGCCCACCTTGGAGCCGCTGCCCTTTACACCCCACCCTCGACATCGCTCAGACCACCTGGGGACGCCCCCAGCCCTGGCGCCGCCCTCCATCGGGCGCCGGCGTCCTTGCTCGCCCTCTGTCATCTGCTCTCCTCGTAGCACCCGAAGCCTTAAACTGTGGCTCTGAGCACGCGGCCACCCCCTGCCCCTGAACCCTCAGCAGCCCCCTGCGGCTCTGCATGTAGGAGACGCAGCTTTCTTGAGGCCCCGGGGGCTCCTGCCCCTCCCTTCCCATCCTGGGGCTCCCTCTGCCTGAACCACAAATCCCCAGGGTGGGCGAGGCCCCTCACCCACAAGCCTGCAGTGCCCTTCTGCAGAGGACACTGCTGTGCGGCACGTATGGTTAACAATGCTCGTCCCCGCTGTTAACTGAGCACCTACTATGCGAGCCAAGCTCCTGGCCCGCATGAGAGGGGGAAGCCTAAGGGGCAGTCCTGGGGGGCACACCTTGCAGGGGGGAGCCTTGGGCAACTGCTCCCTGCCCCCCTTCCCTTCCCCTCTCAGGGCTCAGCTCTGCCCGCAGGATCCACAGGCCCCAGGGGACAGCCCCTCGGCTCCCTAGCCCAGCAGCCAAGGAGAGGGGCAGCCCCAGGGAGAGAGGACCCCGGCCGCCGGCAGCCTCTTTGAATTCCCGGAGCCCCGCGGGCCCCAAGGCCGGGGTCAGCCCGCTGACTTGTGAATAACAGAGTCGCAATAGCCACAGCGAAAGGATTACTTTTAATCCCCAGTAACGATCAAGCCATTATTATTTTTTCGGTGTTACAGATCAATCAGTCCATCCCCAGGCGCGGAACGTGTGGAAATTGCAAAACACACAGGCCCGGCGGTGCGGCGGTGCGGGAGGGAGGGCCGGCGCTGGGCGGCGTGGGCGGGCGGGGGCTGCCTGCGTCTGGCCAGGCGTGAGGACGGCAGGCAGCGTGGGAGGGCTGGGATCCCCCCCACCCCCAGACACGCCCGCGGGGCCGCACTAGGGGCTCAGAGCCTGGGCCCCGGGGCCTTGCAGCACCAGCCTGGGTTCGAACCCTGCTCTCTCTGATCCAGTGGCTTCCCCGGCCCTTAGTTTCCTGTGTGTAAACTGGAGAGAGTAACGTCCCCACCCGGAGTGGGCAGGCCCTCGGCCGCCCCCTTGTTCCCGACCCCAGATGCTGCCCCCAGGAAGGGGTCCTCCTCTGGCTGGCTTTAAGTATCCAGTCTCTTCCCCACCTCTGCACCTTCCCTGTCACCCACCCCCCCCCCCCCGCCCCGGGCTGTGCTCCCTGCCGTCTCAGGAGGCAGCCTGCCTCTGGAGGCGGCCTTCCGCCCCTGCCCGGCCCAGGGCCCTCCCTCCCCTCAGCAGACACCCAGAGCCTTGGGCTCCTGTCTGCCCCCTTCCTATCCCAAGGCTCATCCTCTAGAAGCTTCCCTCCCAACTCTCCCGGTCTTCCTTACGGCTCAGGGGTGGGCAGAATGGGGGAGAAAACGGGCCCAGAGAGGAAGGGACAACTTGCAAGGATCGAGCAGCAGCGCAGGGGCCGAGGCGGGGCCACGGCTCAGTCCGGTCTCCAAGCTCTTGCCTGGGGGGGGGGGCTGGCTTCCCTCCTGCGCCCACCCCCGAGGGCCTGCTCCCTGGGACAGGGGCTGACTCCCTGCTGCTCGGGCTCTGGGTTCTGCTCTCTCGGCCACCTGCGGTCTCTGGTTCCCCAGCGCCCGGCGCTGCGCCTGCTGCTCCCGCCCGTGTGCCCTCGCCCAGACTCCTCCGCCTGGCTCACGCCCTCGCCTTTGTGGGGTCAGCTCAGCTCTCGTCCTCCCCCCACGCCCTCCCTGAGCCCCGCTGAGCCCTCATCAGCCCGCTGTGGCTCCCGGAGAACCCACGGCTGCTTTCTCGGGAGCTCGGAGTGTGGTGGGGGCCATGTCTGGCAGCTGTCGCGTTCACAGTCACCTGGTCTCTGGCACACAGTAGGTACACAGTGGACACCTGCCACGTCAAGGTCCGCGTGGCTCTGACCCTGGGCAGAGGCATGAGTTTGAGTCTGACCCTGCTCAGCCAGCTGTGTGACCCCAGGTGTGAGGTTCAACCTCTCTGAACCCCCTTTCCTCGTCCTCATAACCCGGGGGCTCAGGGCTGCCTAGGAGGCTGATGCGGCTTCGAGGTCGCTGACGGTGGCTCGGCTGGCCTGCGGCGTCCCTGCCAAGGTCCGGGCACTGGGGGGACACCGGTGGGGCTGCTGAGCGGGGCTGCTCACGGCCGAGTCCATCACCGCAGCAGCGGGCGTTTGGGAAGCAATGACCAGAGTTTCACTTAACAGCCATTTCCCTCAGCTCTGGAAACTGCTCCTCCGGGGAAAGGCAAGAAGGAGGGCTGGTGGGGCACGGGGCTGGGGGCGGAGCTCCCCTGGGAGCAGCGCCCCCCACAGACAGACACCTTCCAGTGTCACCGAGTGTGACGTGTTCCCGTGGCTGTGGAACGGAGGCGGTCCACGACCTGCCCGAGGAGGGGCCCGGGGCCGTGGTGGGTGCCCCTCCTGGGCCAACTCCAGGAGGGCTGGGCCCCACGGCATGCTGGGAGGGGTGGGGCTTGGGAGTGGGGATGGCTGGAGCCTCTGGCTGCTCACCCTTTCGAAGGCCTCTCCTCCCCCCGGGGCCGGCCCAGCCTGGAAGGGTCTGGGGAGCAACTGCGCACCGCACAGGATTGGTTCTGTGCAGCCCGGAGGGAAGATGGGTTCTGGGGCCGAGTTACTCGACTCCGTCTTCTGAGAGGATATAAGAGGTTTAGGATCAAAGGCCCTGAAGTCACTCACTCGGCACAGGACACGGCACCCAGCAGATGCCCTGAGGACACTGAGGGAGGGTGGCAAGGAAGGTCACGGCGACAGGATGACACCAGACACTGGCCCCCGGCACCTACCTCGGGCTGGGCGTCACTGACTGGAGCAGGTGATCCAACGAGAGGTGGAAGACTGGGCCTCTTCCTCGCTCTGCCCCCGCCCCCAGCCCCAGCAAGTCCCCCCACCCCAGGGGGGAACCTTGTGTTCTCCCTCCCTTTGCAGGCCAGGCGCTGCCGCCCCAGGCCCCTGGGGAGGAAGTGGGGGAGAGGAGGCATCCGATGCAGGCTGGCCAGCAGACGCCCCAGGGCAGGACCCGGCGGGCCTGGCTGGCTGGCTGGGCTCAGGTGCCCCTCGCCTGCCCCCGTAGTGGCTCCTTTGCCCTGTCCCCAGGAGAGGGGGCCAGTAACAGGCCTCCCAGGTGCTTCTCTGAGCCCACCCCCATCCTTGGAGTCCCCGGGCCGAGACCCTGGGCAGGGGTAAGCACCAGGGCTCCCAGCAGGCCCCGCCCTGCCCCCAAGCGCCGCCCTCTCGACCTGCTTCCCTCCTTGTCCTCGGGCCCCGGATTAGCTCTGTACTGTGCACTGA